CCGGCCGGTTTGAAAATATTTCTAGACCGGCAAAAGATCGGTGGAGACCGGCCGGTCTAAACTTTTACACCGGACCGGACCGGCACCCGCCCGGGCCGGCCGGTCTGCCGGCCCGGTTCCAACTCTGGAGTACATCCACTAGGTGTGTCTGGTTAGAAGTAACAGAACAGGAAAACAATGATTTTAATGTCTTTTCAAGTAGAAAAGAAATTATATCCGAAGGTGACCGGGAGTATAAAGAAAATATAATACAATAAACTTGGGTAAAAGAAGTACCAGGTACAAAGATTTGGACGTAGAGATGAGCATCGCAGCCAAATATGGGCAACTCCAGCTCTAAAATTGAGCTTCTTTTAGTAGAATTAGAGTTGAGTTCTTATTACGCTGGAGTTGAATTGAGTTTAAATTTCTTTAACTCCAACTTCAAAAGTGTCTGGCACTTTGCTTGCCATCCTTGGACGTTGAAAAGGCAAAAAGAAACAGGAGTAAATTTCTTATTGGAGAACACCCTTTTTTTTCTCCAAAACATTCCCGTTCGGATAAAATGCAATCTAGAGATCTCCAGCTATACCACTCCGCAAGTATCACAACAATATCATTTACCACTCTGTCAGACAAACCACAAAATTTCAGTCTATCAGAGGCTACTTCTATAAAAGCGAACCTTATTTCGATCTACTCCGATATACTTTCTCACTTATCCACACTGAGTGTAATAGTTGCTGATATGCCTGTAAAGTTCGAAATTACTTTCAATGATCGTATTTAATTCGATTGGCAGTACTTCTGTCTTACATGCTGTTGCGAATAAATCAACTGAAAAAGGTAGTCGAAAATCTTGTGTCGAAATATTTTTCATTAACTACACAAAACATGCCAATGGTAAAAGCACAAGTGAATATACGGTATGCAAACATTCGGTAATTTACAAAATCGGTGTAATATCTAACTATACACGTTATCATATAAAACTTTATACGAAATGGATAGAATCGTTAAAAAGGAATGATATTAATGATCTGATTGTAACTCAACCAGACATTAAAGATGCATTTATTAAGATTAAAACTATAAAATACGGTAGTCAACACCCTTATCAAATTGAATTAAATAATGTGATAATAAATGATTTAATAATAGATCTCGGTTTGACGACTGTTGAACGTCCAGCGCTGTTACAAGTAATGAGTAAAGTTGATTCTGTGTTTCCGAATCATCGTCATCTATCCGATCACCATTATTATCTTTATCTTCAAACCGAGAATTATCAAATTTTTAAATGCATTGACATTGTTAACAGTATTGTCGGTTATCAGTCATACCGCTTTATTTTCAATATTATAAGTCAATGAAATTATTTTTTTCAGACTCATTTAGCAAAGCTTCGCCAATATGACTATCTGCGATCAAAGAAGAAAAGCCGTGTGAGAAAACACATTTAAGTAAATCAGATTAAAGGTATACCTGTTAATGGCAAAAATGAGAGAACATATGATTTAAAAACATAATCGATGATAGAATGATCAGTTACAACGTGAAATAGCCTCATTCTTCAGCCCAGATATCAAGTGTCAATGAAACAAATTCAGCACTTGTACATATTTTTTTTCAATTCAAAAGTCTACTTTATTCATTGCTCGTAGCAGTGCGGGATGTTCAACAATCGCCAAATCGAGATCTATTATTACATCATTTATTATCATCTTATTTAATGCAGTTAGACAAGAGTGTTGACTACCGTAGTTTATTTCCGTTTCTGAGCTGAAAACGCATTTTCTAACGACTCATCGATTAACCGAGTTGCTCCATGCAGAGCCCTGCAGGTTGCCAATATTTGGCAACCTATAACCTAACCTATAAAAAATTTCACAACCTAATCCTAACCTAACCTATGGATTCGACAACCTAATCCTAACCTAACCATTGAAAAAAAAATAGAACAACCTATAACCTAACCTAGCCTATAACTTTTGCAACCTAATCCTAACCTAACCTATAGGTTAGGTTAGGATCAACCTGCAGGGCTCTGGCTCCATGGCTCGTATAACGTATCGCTCAAATTTTCGTGGGGTTTCGATGACTCATCCAGCAACGCACCTAATCGATGTATCATGCGTTTTTCGTGCTAGAAAACGCGCATTTTTTTTCAGATCGCAAATCATCACGGTTTTCACAAAAATGGGCTGCGATTGACGTAGAAAATGACGTTTTAAATACAGGAACCGTGTTTCTTTTTCCGATCGCAGTATACCGCGTGTCATCATGAACTTCGATTAATAAAAAGAGACTGCGAAAACACCGCGATTACAAAGGCGAAGACCGCATTCTGCTCGTGATTTGCGTACAAGCGCGGTTAAACAACGCACGCAGTTGATCGCAGTTCAATACCAAAAAACGCGATTATTGCTGGAAAAGTTACGATTACTAGTTCAAATCGTGAGCAATTGCATGCGTTGTTTAATCGCAGTTTCCTAATAAAACGTGTTTTGGGATAAAAATGTACGATTCAGAAGCTTTTTCAGACAAAAAGCACGTTTACACGCGTTTTGAAATAGAAAAATATGCATGGAAAATACTGATCATTTTTAAAAAAAATTTAGGGCAGAGTTCTTTTAGAAAGTGTCAGACATAACATTGGTGTATTTTATTACAATGTCTAAACTATGAGAAAGAACTCTTTGACTTTTTCGGTTAGTACCCACTGTGCTGTGATTCCTAGTATAGATCAGTTCTGACTTATAAGCGACTGATGGTGCATGCAGCTGTTTTTTTTCTCACCTGCCATTCCATAGCCAATGAACTGGCTTGATATAACAAGAAATAAACCAAGAGCAAAATTCATTGTGGCGTCTGAATTTCGGTGAACAACAAGAACGTCTATCGAACCCATGTTGTGTTCAGCTACTAGGGCCATTATCATAATAACAGTATGCTCTTTAATTGTAAATTTTCCTGGATTGAGTTGATGATAACTGTTGAAAAATGGAATTTTAAATTGTTTTCGCGGTAAGCACCACTCCAGAAATTTTCCCATTGGATATGCCAGTATTAACACAAGAGTAGATGGAAAGGTATAATACCACGTACTGTAGTAGTAGTATTGATTAATAGTTGTCATCAGCAGGGTAAATAGAATTCCGATTATCCAACTACGTACTGTCAAACACGGCATTGTGTAATCATCTTTGTTCGACACTATTCCCATGGTTTCTTCGACTGATGATTGTTCAGCTTCGATAAAATCTTCGAAAAGGACTACTCTGTTCGTTGGAGTTAAAGCAGTAACATTCATATTGACGATATGATCTCGACCGGTTGTTGTTTTTGGTGTATTTCTCTCTTCGTCTTGCTGTTCTCTGTGTTTAGGCATCAGAGTAGATAATGTCATTTTATCTGAAAGAATAAATCCCGTAAATGCCACCTAATCCTGCGGAGATTTTCAGACAGATTCCAGCTAAGTTACCGTCTTCTGACAAATGCAAGAGAATAGAACAGTGCAAAGATTGAGATAACTTTTCGAGATGTTCTTATATGGATTCTCTGGAAACCTCCACTTTGGAAACCCATGATGAGTGTAAAATCGTTGTTATGTCACTGACCCTCTAAAAGTGTCTGAACATTTCGATATCCCGTTCTTAGCTCATGGACACAGAACAGTGTAAAAATACGTTTGATTTAAACAAGTTTATTTGGTTCACCATAGTAAAAATACTTTTTATTATAAGAGAATTAAAGTTAAAGGTGTATCCACTTCACTCTAATTCTCTGTAGAAGAGCAGAATATGTAGATTGACAATCTAAAAAATGCGTTTGTTAAAACTGAAAGACGATGAACATTTCAAAATTCCGATTTTTTAGTAGTTTACTACAAAGCTAAGTTCACATATTCGAATCTCTATTCATACAAAATTGATTTTGTGTTTTTCGATAGTTTAGAATACTATAATGGAATATTTTCCGCTTGTATTCTGACAGAATAAAGCTTATATTAACTAGGTATGCACCGCTTTCGAACCGAAAAATCGAAACGATAACGTTGCATAAACTTGTGAATGTGTTGTTAATCGAATTTATTGGAACAACTGTTTTGTTTCGGTTATAGGTTAGCCGAAACTGTTGCATACCGAGTTTTGATTAACCAAACTGGTGTAGTCAGCATAATGATGTTAAGTAGATAAATTGCACTTTTGAACTCTTCCGTACGATATACGATATTAACAATATTACAAACGTTTTCAAAACAAAACAGTTGTTCCAATAAATTCGATCAACAACACATTTAACAACACCTCATTCTTTTCGAGATGTTCTTATATGGATTCTCTGGAAACCTCCACTTTTCATCGGGGCCACATTACAACCCCTCTAAAAAAGCGTTCGATCGAGCTCAACTTTTTACCACAGGTACCTGAGACCCTATCTCAGGATGCAAATGTTGTTTTTCAAAAAGTATGCTTTGCTTCTCGAGATATACGAAAAATATTGAAAGATCACGGAAAAACGTCAGATTTTTTCCGTGTTTTTCACTGACGAGCTCAAATTTTTACCACAGGTACTTGATGTTTTTCCAAAAAATACGCCTTCCTTCTGGAGATATAGGAAAATTGCTGAACGTTATCATAATGTCCAAAATAACTTTTTTTTCTCAAATTTTCGTGAAGAATGCGAAGCCCACAAAACAACCATCGTATAATCATGAACATTTTCTTCTCTAGCAAGAATTACGGGTGGAACAGTTCCAGTTCATTTCTTTTGAACGGTAACTGGTTACCCCTTCTCGTTCCTAAAAACAGAAAGTGACGAACGGTCTTTTCAAAAGAACGGAAACTGTTACGAGTTCTTTCTAAGAATTCAAAGCAAAATAAAACTGATGAAGCTCATAACATTAGCATTGTTTAGTGCGCCAAAGGTAGATGGTGCGTTTAGTGGACTAAACAAAGTTAATGTAACTAGCTTCAACGGTTTTATTTTATTTCAAATTCCTAAAAGGAACTGAAAACCAGTTCCCGTTCTTAGAACAACAGCTAACCAGTTCTTTTCACCAGTTCTCAAGAAGTTTAGATAACTCGAATTGCCCTACCCCTAACATGAACATTCCCAAATATTCATACTATGTCAAATATATTTTCAAGAATATGTGCAAATAAAAAGTTTTTTTGTTATATCGGTTAACAGATAAAAGCCGCAAGGGATGCATGCCTAATCAAAACTGAACAAAATTCTGGTCGATCGCTTTTACGTTAATAAATTACTAAACTTTTTAATTCTGTTTCTGTTAATGAACTATTTGAATAAGCCCGAACTAACGATGCTTTTATTGAGATTGCGGTAATCTACATCTAACATATTCAAGCACGGCTTTTCTGATCGTTACTGTTAAACGTGTTAGCAGCAGTACCCATCAGAAAAAGGATTACATTATTACATTTATTACAGGTCACATTATCTTCTTGATGTTCATAATC